CAAGTGACTCCTGGAGCACCGCACACACCAAGTGACTCCTGGAGCACTGCACACACCGCCAAGTGACTCCTGGAGCACCGCACACACCGTCAGGTGACTCCTGGAGCACCACACACACCGCCAAGGGTCCCCAAACAAGAAACTAGCAGCTAGTAAGAGAAAATGCTTTAAGCGATGCAAAGAGATCTTTTAGGAAAAGTACAGAAAGTTCTCATCATCCTCCAAAAACAGCCTAGAAGGACATTTGGATACACACCTTTCTACTTCTCCCGCAGGGCTGTCTGGGTTGGAAGACTTATTTGTAGACACTGGCGAGTGAAAAGGTGTCCCACTATCGGTGTCTCTAGAGCTATCCAGACAGCTGCTATCCAGAGATGATCTTTTGGACTGAAGGCCACCTGAACTCCGGCTTACATCAGAAAGACTCTGTGGAAGAGAAAGACGCTGTTAGGGTTTCAAAAGCAAATGAGAATATTCTAAAGCACACAAAAGCAATCTGTCTCTGGTTTAAGGTGATTTCAGACCGACTGTCTACACCCTCTTTCCCAATAGGTTTGAAGAAGGTGTAGGTGTAAAGTTCAAATTTGGTTTCAAGATCAACTGGTTTTTTTTTTTTTTTTTTGAGACAGGGTTTTTTTTCTATAGTTTTGGAGCCTGTCCTGGAATTTGCTCTTGTAGACCAGGCTGGCCTCAAACTCACAGAGATCCACCTGCCTTTGCTTCCCTAGTGCTGGGATTAAAGGCGTGCGCCACCCCCGCCCGGCTAAGATCAACCTTGTCAATGGAAGCACACCAGAGAATCAGGACTACAGACCCACCTTTTTCTTCTTCTGAAGAATCTCTGCAGGTAGATAATGATGAAGTTGTTTTTTCTTTACATGAGTTGCTTCAATTTTCATTCCATCCTTTAACATATTTATATTGTTTGCCTGCCTGTACACTGTAACAATGTTAATATGTTAAATGGGACATTTCTCTCTGAACGGCAAGCTGTTTCCCTTTTCTGAAATGCAGACCGCTTACCCCCCACTAAACACACGTCCTCTCACGGAACAAACACTCTAAGACTCCCATCGTGTCACAGCACTGTGTAAGAACCAGCTGCTTCCATGTGTCTGTCTTCTAAAAGCTTTCTTATAATTAGCCCCCATTAACAAGGTAAGTATATCGCAAATTTTTTTTTCCAAATCTTGTTCTTTGTTCTTTTCAAAACAGCAGTCGCTCCTCATAATTACTTGTCTGAATCTAAGGTAATTCTTTTTCTTCTTCTTATGCATATATGGGTATTCTGACCTGCATATAAGTCTGTGTGGCATGTGCATGCCTGGTGCCTCAGAGGTTAGAAGAAAGTACTGTATTCCCTGGGCCTGGACTTACAGATAGATAGTAGTTGTAAGCCTTCATGGGTGCTGGGGAACCAAGCCTTAGGCCCTTGGGAGAGCAGCCAGTACTCTGAACCTCTAAGTTGTCTCTGCAGCCACCTAAGACAATAATTATATCAAATATCCAAAATGCAACTCAAGTCCTGCTTCTCCCCTGAGACTGCTTCACCATCACAGCCCACATCAGATAGAGAACACAGCAGACCGGAGGCCATCTGCAAGTCTATTTTCAGTTTAGAGCAGAAAAACTAGTTTCAGAAAGCCTGGAACACCTGGGCGGCAGCAGGAGACATGCGGCTCTAGACTTCTGTTCTAGCGCTTTTCCTAACTTGTGAAGACCAGCTGTATTAGCACACAAAAAAGGTATTTTATGTCCAGCCAATTAGATGTGAAGTCCACTGAAGACAGGCAGGAAGGCTGTTTTGTACTGCAAATGCTAAGGAATGAGGCACATTATTTAATACTGTGGGACCTAGAGTGTCGACGTGCGGAAAAGAGTATTTTAAAAATCTAATAAATGAGCATCTCAGCTTTTTCCTTCTTGAGACAACTGATTCCTAATTTGTATACACAATTTCATTCGAGGTTCTTATGATTATCAGGAGTACTTGTTCAAACTGCAGAGTCTCTGGTTCCTCAGAACGTGACTTTGTAGTCTGAAGGTGAAGCACAGGAGGCTACACTACCACGATAAACATGAGGACTTTGTAAGGAATTTAGAAAACTCCTATGTGTCAAGAGCACTAACAGCATGATGTGC